AATGTATTTCTTTGGGAAGCAGAGTCCCTCTCTAGGGTGATGCTCCAGCTGGAGTGTGGTCCCTGGTGCAGAGAGTGCCAGCTTGGGACAGAGAGAAAGAGTTAAAATCATGGAAACACAGAACTGTTTAGTTTGAAAAAGGCTTTTTGGTTACAAAGGATGTCTGTAGCAGGTGTAGACAGCGAAACAGACATGGCTGAGCTTTTGGTTGTGTATTTGGATTGTGTATTTTTTAGAAAATACATCCCTTTTACACTGCTGCTACTTTTCTTTCTCACTTCAGGGACTGGCTTAGAGAAATAAATAATTTGCTATAAAATTTTAGGGGTTTGCAAGAGTTGGTTTAGTGTCAGTTTGCAGATTTTAATGCACTTCCCTGCATGATCCTGCCTTGCAAAAGCTTAGTGTCATGTTCAGATTTGGGTATTATCTCAGATCCATCTTTTCTCTGAACTTTTATAGTGTGTTGACTTTTAACAGTAGGCCCCCAGGAACCACTAATGGAGCAGAAGGAGTTACAAGTTTCATTTTCTTCCAAATGTTTCGTGTCATATTTCATTGGGTGAATGTGCCTTACGACAAAATTGTTTCAGTGTTCTCAGCTAGCAGAAAAAAAACATCCTCCTTGTTTAGGGTCAGCTTCTGGCTCAAAACGTGAGCATCTGCACAGAAATGTGTTGGTGCATTTCAGACCTTAAATTTTACGTTCTACTGGTGTAATTTAAGTTTGAAGTAGCTCATTAACGATTAACGATCGCTGATTTTGGACAGTAATACTTCCAACAACGTGGTTTTCCAGAGAAATAACTTGCAAAGCCGCAGATAATGCTCCCATTTCCTGGCGCAGCCCACTCTTAGCAATAATGTTGCCACGGAAACAGCAAAACTCTGAGCCCGTGAAAGAGAAGGGAGATGGGGGCAATTTACAGCACATTTTTTTAATTGAAATAAATTAACTGGAATTTGTTAAAATAGTTTTGTTGGGGTTTTTTTTTTCAGCTTGTTTGATTTTTTTTCCCCCTTTGTATGTGTTTGTTTGTTTGTTTGTTTGTTTGTTTGTTTTCTGCTAGGGGAGGACCATAACCTTTGCCCACGGGCCTTTGGGGGTTTTTGGTGGTGGTCGTGTGGTTTTCTTGCCTAGGACAGTAAGCTGAGGTCTGACTCAAACACCCAGTATGAAAAAAAAAGTGATGTGAGGCCAGTCCGTGTTTTTATTCCTGCAAAATATTTTGAGGTAGAGGTAGATAGTCATGGCACTGATGGGAAGTTCAGTGCTTCTCATTATTTCTGTCAGCTACATGATAAGCCTTCCTTGAAATCACAGTAAGATGTAACTGAGCTCTGTATGCAGGTAAATCACAGAAAGAGAGGAATACAGAATATGATATATTAAGTATGTAAAAACAGAAGAAATCAAATTGTTTAGAAATATTTTTTTCTTAAGAAAGTTATATCATACTTCTTTTCAGCTTGCCTTGATGTCATCTTGCTCCCCTGTTACCTAGATCATCTGAGGTTGTCTCACACAAAGAAAGCTGGATTAGGCTGATTAATAAATACCTGGGTAAGAGATTTCTGGTATATGTCTAGCTTGGGCCGTGCAAAGAAAGCTGGTATTTTTCCTTCTGAATTACCTAATCAAGAGAAGAATGTCCATACAGGATATTAGAAATCTTTGTCCTATTGAAACATTTTTTTTTTTTAAATGGAATTGACCATTTGTTAGTATTAAAGATTCTGCAAGAACGTTTACTAAAGCCCAAGCATAAAAACTTGTGTCCATCATACTACAATGTGAGGAATAGCATCCTGTTTGCTGATGGCTTAATGTTACATCATAGTAACAGTAATTGTTTAGGGCTTGTTGTAAAGAGGGGTGTCAACTATGATGGCCTTATGGCTGCTTTTTGTATGGTATTAAAACTCTTAGCAACATCTGTGTTTGTGTTTCTGGACAGATTCACTGTTTCTTTTAACTTAGCTACCCAAATTCACTTTGGATTCCCCCCCCCCTCCCAAGGACACTGTCTTCCATGTTTTTCTTAAATCTAGTTTAGTCCACGAGCAGTTTTACTGCCACTGGGCAGACACCCTGGAAATGCAAATAGTCTTTCAGCAGAACTTCAGCAGTTCTTATTCGGATAGAGAGTACATGTTTGACCACAGTGTGTTACTGGAACGAGGTATATTTGCCAAATCTGATTATGTGATTAATATTTCTCTAAATACGGGTCACTGAAAGTCACCTTTCTTGCATTCGGGAGAATTTCTTACTACAGTTAGAGGAACACAGTGGTTGTACTCCCTGTGTTTCCTCTTTATGGTGATCATACCATTTTACCTGGTTTAGCTTGTGTATTGACAATGTCTCCTATGTTTGCAACTGCAGCAATTTAAAACATTTTAAAACTCAACAAAATGTAGTTTCTCCCTCTAATTTTGTCTCCAGCATCTGGTTTTTTTCCTACCCTTTGCTGTTAATACAAATTACTTTCTTCTGAAATACAGTCTGCAAAGGTAGTGAAGGTACAGAAGGAAAAAGTTGTTGGCTATGGATATGACCATGAGTGCTGCTTGGAGGAAAAAAAGGAGGAACAGTGACATGAAACAAGGACTGCAGCAGGATGAGAGGAGTGTCCATGAGAAAACAGAAATGAAAAAGAAAACCAACAGAAGTTGAAAAAGAAGTCTGAGATGCCAAAATTACCACTAGTTCATAAGAAATGCTGTACTTTGTCAGAGGCAGTGTGCACCACCCCCACTGTGTATGTATTTCTAGGATTATATATTACTTTGCATTTATTAACATCGAATTTCCACCTGCCATTTTATTACTGGGTCAGCAATGAAGTCATAGTTCCACGGCTGTTTGTTAATCATGGTGGTTCATAGCCCTGCAAAAAAAGGAAAGAAAAAGGCTCATTTTCAACTTGGATCCACTTTATGAGCTGCCTTAACATAGGTTTCAAATAGAGATAAGGAAGAAATGGTGGTTTGAATGTCTTGCTGTCTGTGATATGGGCAGCAACCAGCTTGTTGAAGGCAGGTGTGGTATAGTCAGTGTGCAAGCTACAGGCATGGTGTTGGAAATGCCAAAGACATTATAAATTCTTTGGCAATAGCTAGAATGAGCTAGATCCTAATTTTAATTGAAGTTTATGCCTATTACACAGTCTCCTTATTTCATTTATTATCCCAGAATTGGATTTGAACCTGCTGCCTATGTAGGGCAAAATTATGCACTGTTTCTAATCCCAGAAACTGTAAAAGGCAAGGTTTTAAAATGTTCAGTTCTCCCAGTTTAGGGCTGGATTTGTAAAGGAGACCGTTCCCCAGCCAGACACTGAAATAAGCACTGGATTTCAAGCACTGGGTAATGCAGTGGCTTCTAGTCCTCTGCAGTGCCTAATATCAGGTTTCCAGAGGAGCTCTACATCCAGCGGATGTCTTGGTAGCATGTCTGTGTCCAGCGAAACAGTGTCAGAAAACAGACCTCTTGCTGGTGCTCTGGGAAGCTTTTGTCTTCTAGCTTTCCCTCTGCCCTCCCCCCCCTTCAGTGGACCGATGATCATACCATCGTTAAATATTTACTGTGCTAACAGGGTAAAAAAGGGGTAAATAAGTCCATGCAATTTTTTTTTTTTTTCAGGCAGGGTTTTGGCTTTGTTTCGTGGCTGGGTTTTTTATGTTTTGTTTGTTTGTTTGTTCGGTTTGGGGTTTTGTTTGTGCGGGGTTTTTTTTGTTGTTGTTTTCGTTTGTTTGTTTGTGGCTATTTCTCACCGGAGGTCTGTGAAGGCGAACCTGCAAAACCAGTGAATCTGCGGGCGCACGCAGGGAGCAATCAAACATCAAACGAAATGTGCACATTCATGTTCCTGTCCTGGATGTAAATGAATTGGCTGAATGAACACAGTCGGGGAGAAAACCCAGACCCGACTCCGCGGTTTTCCTCACCTGCCACCCCTGTGGACACCCCGGGCATTTCTCTGGCGAACATCCCGTCTCCCACGGGGGGCTTTTGCGACCCGCTCCCGTCGGCTCAGACGCCGGCTTCATTTTCTGGCGTTGCCGCAAAAAAAGGGTGCCGCCTGTGCTCGAAATGGGATCTTCCACTATTTAGCAAGGCTTTGCTGAATGAGTCATCAGCGCCGGCTGGTATTGGCTGGGCTGGTGAGCACCCAAGGGATTGCCTGGCAGAGGCTGCGAGGCCTCGCTTCATTCACAGAAATGTGGGGATGCTAGCCAGCCCTTTCATTCACACGCTCAGAATCTCATTCACATTTTGCAGTCTCGCTAGCCGCTTCTAATGAAGACAGTCGTTCGGGAGCAGTAGGGTTTTCTGGGCTGTAGAGACACGTAAAAATAGTCTGTGGTGTGTATACTTGCTGTTGCTGTGCTAGGAGAATGAAGAGAGGAATGCATGCTGTGAGGATGCTGTAGCAGGTTTGCAGTGTGGTGATGAAAGGCTGTTCTGCAGATCAGTAGAAACCTGCTTTTACATTGACTAAGACATTGCCATTATTCATCACTGCTGGGATAAGAGGTGCTGATTTAATTCAATATGTCATGAATATACTAATTAAATACCTGTATTTGAGCTGGCTGTTTCACTGTATTTGCACTTTGTATACTGCAGCCTTTAGCAATGGGAGGAGGAAGGAATTCCATAGGATTTTTTCCTTTAAGTTGTGCTGCAGTTAGTCATGTATTTAAGAAATAGCTTTGCACTATGCAACTTTTCTGGTCTGAATTTCTTTATAATGCAGTGTATTTTCCTACATCCGAAAAATGTTTTACAAAGCAGATTGATTTATAGGAAAAAGCCATATGGCTTGTGGTGGGCATTGTGTGTCACAATGCTGTACATATTTTGTCTTTAAAAAAAAAAAGAAGTGGGAAACATTAAATACCTGCTTTCTGCATGTTTTGCTACTTCTCAGATCGAGTGTTTTTGACTAACGTGCTAAATAAAGACCATTTTTTTTTGTTTTTCACTGCAGGATGTCAGTTTGCTGCTCTCTGGACTTTTTAATATTATTTCAGGTTTTCGAGTTTTTCAGAATTAAACCAAACATTCCAGTGAATTGAAGATCTTCTTCCTGTCTTTCTTCAGAGTGAATATCAGTGGTGAAAGAAAAAACATCTGTTAAGCCTGTTGTCAGACATCAGAAAAATGCTTTTCTTCACACATAGGTACTTATGTAATTCCTGAATTAAAATAGAATGTTCTTGTGGAGTAATGGGGAGAAGGATTTCTTTGTCAAAATTGGGATATAACAGTTTCTGTGAGGGACAGCATTGACAAAAAGGCACTGTTAGACTGCTTTTGTGGGAGAAAATGTCTATATTCCTTAGTTCTGTCATCTATTCTGAAAACCTTTAAGGTGCCTGTGTTTTGTTGCAGGCACTGGAGAGAGGGGATATATGTATGTAAATATTATCCAAGTATTTGCTATCTAATTGTGATTTCTTTATAGATTCACAAATGTGAGAGGTGGAAGAATTTTAACAGAAGAATAAAGTGTGATGTTTCATAAAGGCTATTAATTCAGTTTTGAAGGTAATTGCCTTTGGTACTAAAAGGGTGGTGGGAGGGGATAGGAATTAAAGGTTGAAAGGAAATATCTGTTTGAGAAGATAGGAAAAGGAAATTTGAGAATTGATTGGTAGCTAGTGTGCTGTAAGTGGGTGGATGTGGTTTTTTTTTTTCCTTCTCTCTCTCTTTTTTTTTTTTTTTTTTTTTTTTTGGCTACAGGAAGTGATTTGCAGTGTTCACAGCCTTTTGTTGAAAAGGGTCCTTCTCATTTGTGTGAGTCATGCTTTTGCTGTGAGCGAGTTGGCAGCTCTAAGCAGGACTGGGATCTCAGTCACAGAAAACTGTTACTTCACCCAACCTTCACAGGGAACCAAAAGAAATTGCTTAAAAATATACTTTTTTCTTTTCCTGCTTGTTTTTCCTTATACTCTTTGATTTTTTTTCACCCCAAAATCTTGTTATCCATCCGTGTCGTTATGAATCGTGTGCTATGCTAGTGCAGGCATCTCCTGCCTTGGCATCAGATTTGCCAGAACATATGCAGGAGAGCAGATAGAAGGGCATGCTTCAACGTACCAAGTATAACCGCTTCAGGAATGATTCTGTGACATCAGTTGATGATCTTATTCACAATTTGTCCATGAACAGCAAGGTCTCAGGAGTTGCTACGACTTCAGCTTCACCTTCGTACCTGGTCTCAACAGAGGTTCTCCGCAAGGACCACGAAGATGGACCCACCACCCTGTGTAGCCTCATCCATAAAGTGTCCCACTTGAAACTCTCTAGCACAGGCAGCCTTTTGGGTATCAAAAACCTCTCCTCTGCAGTAAAGGAGCTTGCTGTCTCCAAGTTGCAGGGAAGCTCGAGTGCTTCTAGTTCAGCAGCAGGGGCTTCAGACAACACATGTAACCTTGTCTCTGCCACTTCGTGTTCTCAGCAGGACGTGAGCAAGATGAGTATGGGGAAAAAGGCACGGTCAGAGGAAATGCACCTGGGAGGTGAAGATTGGAATCAAAGTAGCAGCTTTGTCAGTAAACCCTCTCGAGGATGGCTGCACTCGAATGAGAAGATCCTGGGACCTGGTGTGACGTACATTGTGAAGGTTGGTCTGTTTTCTTCCATTCTCTGTTTTAATCAATGGAAAATTATCTGCTGGTTTTGCAGACAGGCTAGTCAGGCTGAAAGGATCTCTATTTGTATATTGCTTTTTTGGTGCATAATACATGGAATGTAAATGCAGGAAGGCAGGGTTGGGAAGCTGTGTTAATTTGTTTCATTAGAGCAAACCTGCAAATAATGTTCTACAGCTGTGTGAAAATACTGTTCCTAAGCAAAAAGCTGATTTTGTTACTTTTTGGTTTGGCTTTTTTTTCCTTCTTCTGAATTTAGGTTTTCAGTGTTATCTAGCATACTGTATATATCTTGGATACGTAGCCTTTCAATATGTCTGGTGCAATATACAGGAGGAAAGAAGGAGCCCTTGATGTGAGAAAAACTGTTAATCATGCATGATTTTTCAGTTTGAAAATACCTCTCAGGGCAGGTGTGTTTCTAAACTGAAATGATATTTGAAATCTTAGGGAAGTAAGGCAGAGAGCACAATTCTTATTGTGTTCCACAAATAGAAATACTGTAGGGGGTAGAGCAGGAAAATGCAGCTTGTTTTACATAATGAGGATTCAGCCACCTTAAATGTTATTGCTCTTTTCAGTTCATTGATACAGCATGTCAAGAGCAGAGGTTCTTAGGTTTACAGGGTGATATTTCCATATGCTTTGAAAGTATTTTGAAACCACCTGTTAAATTAGAGCCTTCAAGAGAAGGGTATGTGCAACGTTTTTTGTAGTTAGGTAAGATTCTGGTTACACCTTTCAGCATAAAGTTTCAGTGCAGAAAGTATAAAAATAACATTATTTTCCAGGATTTGTTCTTCAGTTGCCATATTTTATTTGCCAAGTGGCTTTTGTATTGAATGTTAAACTGTTTTGTAACAGACTACCAATATTACAGGTCTATTTTTAATCTCATCTTATTTTTGGTATAAGAGTCACAGTGTGACTTTATTTCAGGATGCTCTAAAACTGAGTGACACCCTTGTTACTTAACTCTCACTGCTTCTTCTCCAGTCTCATTATCAAAAGCAGAGTGCACATTTAACTGTTGAAGGACTAGGAAGCAGATTTCATTTCTTTCTGTTAGTGGTGATGGAAGATTTTGCAAGTGGTGGTAGACTGAGGAAGTTGACCCATTCAGAGCACTACTGAAATTGTGCTGTCTTTTATACTACTCTGAAATTTACTGGAGCTACAAAGGAGTCAGTGCTACCTTTCAAGCCACAAACTGCTGCTCTGTTACTCTTCAAGTGTGTCGATAAAAATAACCCACTGGTGCTGGATATAGTGGTGTTGAGACTCTGATGTTCTTTTGCACAGAAATACTCTGGTTAACAGAAAGTCATTTTCACCTTAGCTCGGGGGACTCAACCATTTGACTTTTAATTTTGCTTAGGATAAGTGAGAATTCACTGCTGCTGTTTGTCTTACCTGAACTGAAAAGAGAATTAAAGTTATATAGAAATGGACTAACATTTAAAGTTAATAATTAACCCGTATCTAACACAGATAGCATAACTGATATTTTAATCAATTCAGTTGGTGTCAAATACCTGAAAGTGTATTTATACACATTGTGTATATCAGAATTTTCAAAATAAATCATTGGTACCATACAACTTTCTTTTAGGTGTTTGTTAATATCATTAAAATGTATGGAACCTAGATTATTGTTCCTATTAAAAAAATTGGGTGATAACTTTGGCTTCATGCTCTCTGGCATGAGAGTGGTTTCTGGCACAGAGCAGTGGTCTCAGTGTGAAAAAAAAAGGTTGAAAATAAATACCAAAGTAAGTGGTTAATGAGTAAATGAAAATAAACTGATCCTATTTAGTTCCTAATTTGCTCGTTTATTAAGTGTCTCAAAATTTTCCTCAGCAACTGCAGCATTCATACAGAGAAGAAGTGCAGTTCCCAAATCCCCAAACACTGTTTGTTACCGAAGCTTTTATCCATTCAGGCCATCAAATCAATACACAGATAATGTCCACTGAAGGGAAACATTCCTTGGATACCTCATGGCTATATTGGCTGTCTGGTGGACTTGTACCATGTTCAATTAGTACCACATGCCTTGCAGAAAATTCCATATGCCATTTGCTAAATGAGATGAAAATTCGATTTTTTTTTTCAACAGAAAAACTTTTGTAGTTTTTGTGTGTAAATGTGCATCAGGTTACTATTTTCTCATTAATCCATGTTCAGAACATAAGATTAGCCACGGGACAGGGCTAATTGTAACTACTGGGCAGTTTGATAGCTCACACTAGAGTCTTCTGAAGAGGCACAAAATTCCTGTGTACAATGTATGGCAAATCTGAGACTTCACTGCTGTCCCCACATTTTCACACATTACTCCTCTTTAAAATGGGCAGTGTATAATGCTTAAAAATGGGTGTAGGATTATGGTAAACAGTAGCTTTATTCTGATTTTCATGGTCTGCTATGATGGAATTATTTTCAGCCACAAAAATGCTGGCACTTTCTGTATTTTTTTTTTCTCCCAGTGGATTTCATGTTGCATTTTTATATATTATTTTAATATAAAAATTTTCACCAAAACCCCCCACAATTTACTAATGACTTAGACAATTGACCATAACCATATTAGGGGACATGAAGTTGTGAGTTACTGATGTTTTACTTAATGCTACTGCTGAACAGTTTAACAAATTATGAATTAATGACAAAAAAAAAAAAAGAAATAATTTGCTATTGTAATGGAAGTCATTGAAGAGCTCAGTGTTTTCCCCACAGTAGGAGTGATTACTACGGAGAGAGATTGTAAATGTTCCTGTTGTCAGAAAAATGAATACATAGAATAAAAAAAAGTGTAAAACTGAGTAATGTAAGGATGGTTAAAGATTTCAGTGTAACCTTTCTGTCCAATGATAAAGATCTACTGATGAGTTTAATTGGGTAATGTAATAGACATTTAGAGTTTTGTTACATTTAATTAAGAGCACAGCCAAGAGTCAAGAGGCAAATGATGTCTGTCTTTAGGTAACTCATGATTGGATTTTGTAACAAGTGTCAAAGAGTTTAAAATGCTCTCTCAGCAGCTCAAAACTAAATAAGCCAAAAATACTGTAGCATAATTTTATATATCTATGTGAAGTATATCTGAAAAAGCTAATGAGCCATAAAACCAGATAGAAATATAGTGTTTGGGAGAGAGGAAGAACTGCTTCATCCAAAAGAATCATCCCAAACCAGGCAAATATCTCAGTGAAAAGCACATTAAATTATTAATATTATAGCAAAGTATTTAAAGAGTGTAATCCTAACTGCAATTATTTCTTTAATATTTTTACACTTTCATTCCTTGGGAGGGAGTAACAGCATATATATCTGATATGGAAAATAGACATCACTGTGATGCTGTTTGAACACATCACCACGTCAAGGCTTCAGTTCTGCAAACATTCCTGCACGACACTGTTTACGGGGAGCATTCCCTCTGAAATAAATTGAGGCTGCCTCTGTACACTGAAAGTTGTGTGTGAGCTTAAGGATGGACCGAATTGCTGTGTCTCCTTAGTGGCTAACCCAGACTTTGAAGCTCACCCTTAAATGGAGCTGACACAGTGGAAACTGCAGCATATGTGGCCTTCCCCTAGAACACTTGAGGGCTCTTTGGAAGAATGTTTCTTTTTTTTTTTTATTTCTGTTCTAACCAGCATTAATTTCCTGTTTAAGAAGAAAAAAGAAACCCATACCACACCAAAATTAACATAACAGCAAGACTTTTTTAGTTTCTCTCTTTGGTTGATGTTGAATTTATCTTCATTTTAGAAGAAAATTTGTGCAAGTGTTTTTTTGGTTTTTTTTTAGGTCAGATTCAATTTCTTCTTCTGTCAGTCAAATTGCAGTAGTGTTGATGGTTAGCCACTGATAGCTTGACACGGCCTGAGTGAAAACATACTCAGTAGGATTATGTGCATGTGTTTCTAATAATAAAGAGCACAGTCCCAGAGCATCCTGTTTGTAATGAGGTTTAAGAAGTGTGTTGTGTGTTTCAGTCATGTGGTGATAATAGGATAGAATACTGACTTTGGTTCAGAGTCTGCTATCCTCAACACAGGTACCCAAACAGTGTTAGTAAAGACTAATGAAACTGGCTAACCATTGTGGATTTTAAAGCTGCATGCATGCAGATTAGGGGAGAGAGAAGGAAGTGACAAAGAGAGCATTGGTTTTAGTAATTAAGCCCTCCCATTGTGCCATGTTCCTGTGAGATCAGTTAGTATCCTTTGCATTTTCTTTCACTGTTATTTGAACTATGAAAGAATGATATTGATGCCTGTTGCTCTCTCGAAAACTGTTCTTTTGATCTCCATGGATCTGAAATACTGTGGGTCTGTTTTACAGCCCACTGATATGAAAAGACCATTTCTCACAGAAATTAGATCAGTTCCTACCAGCAGAAATCATACTGTAGAGTCTTTAATTATAATATTATTCTAATTACATGAATCAAGTACTATTACTGTACATTTGCACACCTTTCATAGGAAATAAAGCATGTATTGATTTCAGAGTTGAAGAATTCAACTGTCAATGTGAATGTCTGTTCTTCAGTACATTTGGAGTGTTTGCAAATTGCCTTGGAAGCTTTGACATAATTTCCATGCCTAGGGTTATTTTGTGAGTGACATGCTCTGGACACTGTTGATGTTGATTTGAATAGCTGAAGTGAGAAATATTTTTGTTTAAAGCAAAAATTATACACTCCTGCTAGTTATTTATCCTGCTAGTTATATATATCCTGCAGTTTTAAAATCCCCAGATGAATTTAGCTGGTCAGTTCTGGAGGTAAAAGCTCCGTGCAGCCAGAATTTCTTCTGTGTTTTTCCTTGGAAATTGGGTGGTTGGTTTCTTTATTTGTCATCCGACAGCATCTGCAGTAAGAATATCACGAGCCCAATCTAAATATCTGCCACTACAAACATAAGGAAAACAGATGAACCAAGATCCTCGGGGTTTCTGT